AAAGCCGATAAAGTGAGACTTCACCTCATAGAGCTTCGCATAAGCGGTCCTCTCGGAATCGCCCGTGACCAGAATTATGCCATCGATGTCGTTATCCTTGAAGCGTTTCTCCCAGTCATCTGGATTATCCCGGCCTTCACCCCCAGCAGTCCCACCTTGCAGATCGGCAAGCATGCCGCCAAGAAAGGGACCAGCCTTCAAGCGGTCACTCTCGTTCTTCACCAGCTAGAGGCTGAGGTTAGCGATATCTCTCACACCAGGATGGGACCTGGGGGTATAACCACTGGCTTACCTTCTTCAGGCCATTCGCGCTGAAGCCAATATTTACCCCAGCCAGTGGAATCGTTGCGGGGTGCGTAAGCCCGTCGGACACTGCAGCCTTGTGTTTCGCAATTTGGTCTCGAGATTTGAGGGCGCTATTTGCCGTAGTTATATGAGGAATCAGGTAGCGCAGATGGCGCCGGAAGCTGTCCGTCTTGGAAATCTTGAAAAAGTAGAACAACTCAAACTCCTTGGGCAAACCCGGCCTAGGCGAGGTTAATATTGTTTCCCGAAGACAGACCGCTCCCTAGAGCACCCACCATATGTTGCCCTGCACGTTGTCCTTATTAACTCCAGTCGTCAGATTTTCCTCAGATGCCATATTGATAATGAGAATGTAGTAGTCCAGCAGGTAATACAATAGCCGCACGAGAGAATAATTGGCACACATGGAGCCCAGATAGAGCTGGCTTTATAGCTTAAATTGACCTTTCGAAGAGACGCCATTATCGGAACACTGAATGAAAATCTTCAACACCAGTTCCGCGCAATGCCGGACTGAACAGCCAGCAATACTGGGGTATGCAACACCATGGTTTGATGGCACGCCATTGCGTGTATGACTCCGATCGGAACTGGATGGGAAACCTTAAGAGGTTGTAAGGTAAAGATACCAAATTGACTAATGTTGCATCCTTATGTGACAAACTCATCTTTCTTTGATTTGGTTGGTGGTCTCGGGTAGCCGACCAAATATTGAGTCCGGAGTCAAGAAGCGGTTGACGCGATGGTCTAGAAGGACCGGATCTGTATATCCAAGTGAAGTAACACCCTTTTCCTTTCTGGCTTCTGGCTAGATTTGATCAAAGGCTTGGGTTGTAACGAGGGTTTGAACTTTACCTACACGGACTGGCGTCGGGGACAGAGAAACGGATATGCCGCTTGCAGAACATTAATTGACGCAATCGGATTAATAACCAGTCCACCTATGCTCACCGATTAAAGTCATATGTTTTGGGACATGAGGTCATCACTCCGAACTGCTAATAGAGCCCTGTACAACGTTTGTGGAATGATGGAGTCAGCTCATGTCAGCTCATCTTGCAGGAAGCGACTGCAAGACGCTATGTGTGAACAGCCACTCTTCCTAATGTCCCGAGGAGACAGGTACTTCGCATCCCTCTCTACTAAACAGGTACAGTTGGGTACAGCTCCTGGTAAATCATAACGCGACGAGGCTAGGACAACAAACAATGATGGTCAACGCCCTTACTTGGATATAGTTTATCTTTTTTTGAATGCCGTGGAGCGAAAGACTCGACCAGCCTACAAAGCACAACAGGAATGAGGATTGAATGGGGGTGACTACCTATCTGAGGGCTCAGGAATTTCAATATTAGTTTTTGGTGACACATAGCTCTACCCCAGATACGGAATTGCATGGGTAGTTGAGAGGAGGCATGCCAGGTTGAAAAGGTTTGATTGTGTAGCACAACATTCTATTTCCGACAATTCAGTCCATATGTCAATATCCCGCAATTCAGCATTTCTCTGGTCATTCCACTGCTACGCTTGTAATGCAGATCCCTCTAGACCTCGCTAGCCCATACAAGGGTCCTAGGATATTATCACTTGCTGCCATTTCTAAGATAAAGGTTTTCTCGAACACAACTGTATACGTGTCCCTGACCCGACCTGCTGAGAAGGGATGTATCTTGAGGACAGCGTGTGAGAATATCGATCGGTAGGGAGAGAATTACTTATTGGCGGCTTTGACTTGATTCCTCTTAACATGCCATCCTGATCGCCAGCCGCTCGTAAGACTAGGGCGGTGACAGGGACTAGACCGTGCATTCCTTATGGCGAGTGTCACTGTCTTTTAGTGGATGTTGGGATATGCGGCATGTGTCACACTGTGTGGGACACGGGAAATCCCTTCATTCCTGAACACCAGGCATTCTATTGCTTGATTGAATACAGATACTCGGAATTGGTTGCTCGAGTTTCCAATGACCACGATGAAGTATATATATCAATTCAGCCTCCACCCAGGGACATTACGGGTTGGGATAACATCTTTATTCTTACTCCGAACCGTCTGCAAAGGGGTGATGAAGCAGAAGCCAAGAATGGGTCTCAAGTGGGCATCGGTATTGTTGCTCATCGGTTTATCCAAAGCAGAGAAAAGCATCGTGCACGGGTCCCTCATATCTGCCGTAGCACAAGGGGCGTCTCTGGGTATTGAAGGTAGTGGTGCCCCCGTCGATACCGGAGGAGAGAATACAGGCTTGTATCAGTCTCCACCTTACAACAGCGCGCGGATCGACCGTAGCAGCTGGATAGCAACATGTGACAGCGAGCTGGTCGGACATGAATGTATCAATGCGATCGACGGCGACAATAGCACGTACTGGCACAGCGGTGATGACACCAACGGTATTGCGTCCCTTCCTCACAACATCACTATCAATCTCGGTACAGCACAGAATGTGAGCGGGATTGCCGTGTGGCCAAGAGCCGTGGAAGATGGTTGGATTGGGACACATGATGTTTCCCTCAGCACTGATGGGGTAACCTGGGGAGATCCAGTCGCACATGGGGCATGGTGGCCTGATTCGACCGTGAAGCTGGCTGTGTTTGAGCCTAAAGCGGTGCAGTATGTGAGGCTCATTGCGCGTTCCTCGTCCAACGGAGACAATGCAACTAGCATTGCAGACCTACAAATCTGGTCGGCGAACAGCATTCCCACAGCGCCACAGGGAAAACGCCTCAGTGAAGTTGGCGCCTGGGGGCCAACGATCGACTTCCCTCTCGTCCCAGCCTCGGCGGCCATCGAGCCCAGTTCCGGGAAGGTGCTCGTCTGGTCTTCATATCGAAAGAACCAGTATGGGGGTACCAGTGGTGGCTTAACGCAAACTGCCACGTGGGATCCGACTACGGGCGTTGTCTCACGGCGCGAAGTCTCCGATACCGAGCATGATATGTTCTGTTCTGGTATCTCCATGGATGTCAATGGGCGCGTGATTGTCACTGGAGGAAATGATGACACTATGACGAGTATCTATGACTCTTTCAGCGACAGCTGGATCGCTGGAGCACCGATGAACATCGAACGTGGCTACCAAGCTTCCACCATCCTGTCCGACGGAAATATGTTTGTTCTGGGCGGTTCGTGGAACGGGCCGCAGCTTCAGAACAAAAACAGTGAGGTGTATAATGTCACAGCAGACACTTGGACTCAGTTGCCGAACGCCGGCTCACAGCCCATGTTAACCCATGACAACCTGGGTCCCTATCATGCAGACAACCATGGCTGGATTTTCGGTTGGAAGAACCTCTCGATCTTCCATGCCGGGCCGAGCCAGGCCATGCACTGGTACTTCGCCCAGGGCGAAGGGAATGTGACGAATGCAGGCAATCGAAGCACGGACTACGATCAGATGTCCGGCAATGCGGTCATGTTTGACGCCACCGGTGGGAGAATCCTCACTTTTGGAGGTTCCCCAAACTATGAGGATTCGGATGGTACAAAGAATGCAACTCTCATCACGATAGGGGATCCTAACACCCCGCCGGTGACTGTCAAAGCAGGTGGTGACATGGGATACGCGCGGACGTTCCATACTTCGGTTGTCTTGCCCGATGGAAGTGTTTTTATCACCGGTGGCCAGGCACATGGCCTGCCCTTTAACGAGGACACGGCTCAATTGACGCCAGAGCGATACATCCCTGGGGAGGACAGATTCGTCGAACACTTTCCGAACAATATCGTCCGAGTTTACCACAGCTGGTCCCTTCTTCTCCCTGACGCGACGGTGATTAATGGTGGCGGTGGATTGTGTGCCAACTGCACCGCCAACCACTATGATGCCCAGATCTATACTCCGCCATATTTGTTTGACGCGGATGGAACCCGTGCCCCACGGCCTCACATCGAGACTGTGGCCCCAGCCAGCCTTCGGTATGGCGGTCAAATTACTATCACTGCCGATTCCCCTATCAGTAACGCCTCCCTGATCCGCTACGGCACCACAACACACACAGTGAACACCGACCAGCGTCGCATCGAACTAGTGCTCGACGATGCCGGGACCAACATGTACACAGCAGACATCCCCAATGATCCTGGCGTTGCTCTTCCTGGATACTACATGCTGTTCGTCATGAACGCAAACGGAGTGCCTAGCGTATCGAAAAACGTCCAAATTACTCTGTGAGAAGCCGCGTTCTCGAGACAACGAGATGGTCCAGACTGAACCGGATCAGAAACCGCAGATTCAGCGACTACGCAGAGGATTCACGACCGGGGCAAGACTTTTTTTGATGGTTGGATTGAGAAACACTTGTCACTTAATTTCGGTTTTCAGACTGACAAGGCCTGCTGTGGAGAATGCTATAGAACGTGTAGCGCAATGTGAAAGACCGTTAGTAACTGCTGGCTCTACAACAAATATGTAGAATGTTCCAACCCGGATTTGCACATGAATGTTTGAGAAAGGTCATTCATTTTTATTTGCCGCAGTAAGCCTTCTCTTCAATGTATGTATCATACATAGCCTGCAATTCCGGACCTCAATTTGGAGGAGGCTTAACAATACACAGTATAAAATCAAGATAGGATAAACAAGACCCTCATAGCTGGAAAGCATGCTTCACGCACTCCGGCGGATTCGTCCTGGCCATCGCACCTAAAAACCTGGATCCGGAGAAAGGGGAAGGACGAGCAGAATGAGACAGCATCAGTTACCCTCATGGCCCCTGTAATCGATAGCAGAGCTATATTTCGGGTCATAGTGCATCGCCCAGTACTCATCCCATATCTTTGTAGTAAGGGGACCGACTTTTCCATTCCGGATCGGTTTCCCATCGAGTTTCGTGATAGGCATAATGCCACCAGCTGTAGTACACATGAATATCTCATCGGCGTGATAGGCATGTTCGAGTGGCACCACCTGAACGCGGACCTCGATGTTCTTGGCCTGGGCAATATCAAAAACACTCTTACGTGTAATGCCTTCCAGAACACCACGGTCGGGCGTGTAGATAATACCATCTTTAACCAACACTATATTGAAACCGGATCCTTCTGTGAGATTGGTATCTCCATCTGAGAGAAATGGGTAATCCGCGCCACGGTCAGCCGCTTCAAATAGACCCCGTGTCAAGTCCCCCCACTGGAGATTCTTGATGGTAGGATCGAAAGCTCCGGGGGGAGTGCGCCGTACGGTACGGGCAATGATCGCAGTGCCTCCGGTATGTTGCATGGCGGGCTCCATCACCCAGACATACGGCATGACGATCAGATAGAGATGATTCTCGAAAAGATCCTCTGGCTTATTGCCACGGACCCCTTTCAGGCCACGAGTGACGATCAGCTCCACAAAGGCATCTTCGATTCCACTCTTAGCAACCATCTCCCTTAGGGTTTGCTTGACTTCGTCCCTGGACAGTGGGATCTTCAGTCGCATCTTTTCACAACTATCTTCTAATCGACTGAGATGATCATCAAGGCGGAAAAAGCGCCCATCCCAGACCGATGGCACATCGTACGTGAGGTCGCTATGCATGAAACCCTCGTCGAGGAGTGGGACTCGTGCGTCGGCGAGTCGGACGAAAGATCCCTGGACGTAGGCAATTCCTTTCGCAAAGCGGTTGTCACTGTTATCTAGACGAGCCTTGCGCTCGTAGTAACCGGAAAATACTTTGTTCATAGATGTCATGGTGAGATGCCTGTATGTTCGACTGAGGACGTTACCAAAAGAAGCGTCTGGTTACGAGCACATTGTATCTACAGTCTCTAGTGGACCGATACCGCGAACATTGGAAGAGAACAATCGGAGTTGCTTTGGGGCTATGGCAGAACGATGTGTCTGGTTTCACCTGCTGGTACGCCCACTTCCGCATGACTCAATGACCCCAGGCTCGTAAAGTAGCAGTGAACTATGGATGATCCGTCTCCGTGACTACGTAAATTGGTACCGCTCTTGGTTGGCTATCCTTCCCGGGTCTAGTCTGTTCTATGATGGATTGAGAATCAAGTCGTCACCACCTGTGTATGATCGGCACACCTGCTCCGGCTGTCATTTCAGATCCTGTTGTGACGTATTGTCTGAGCCTGGATGCTATATCCGGTTCCAGTATGGTTGCCGTGACTTGTGTTGCCCTGTGCAAATATCTACATTTCTATGTGTCTGCTTTAATGCCGTTCACGAGCCAATTTATGACTTTCCGGACCGTGTAGTTGCTTTTGAGTCCAACACCCAGCTCTCTCGTGGAGAAGACAAGGCTGTTGCACTCATGCTACGTCTAGGATAATTATATATTGAGATAAGATCTATCGCATGGGAGGAAGTGTATATTGAATAGGACCTGCTGCAAATGTCGGTATGAACACGGTAAAGACATTACAGCCAGAGTTCAGTACACCAATCGCATCATAACACGCGGAAATCAGTGCCTGTATAGAGATCGTTACAAACAGCAGAGATGAGTATAAGGCCACTAGAACCGTGTAGGTGAACTGCTCCAGGCAGGTGATGCGGCTTCTTTGGTTCCTCGGCGCTGCCCTGGAAGAGCAAACCACAATATCAAACACAACATAAGCATCGCAAGGACAACAGGGTGAAGAACCTTGATACCATGGGCTTTTGCGATTGCGCCCGTGATGAAAGGGAAAATGCATCCACCCGCGCTCCCAAGAGCACAGGCGAAACCGACGGCTGCAACATGGAGATGCTTTGGCAACAGTGCGGCCTGGGCAATAACCGCTTCTGGGTAAAGGGGCCCCAGGAAGAAGCCCAGTAAGGTTACTGCGATCATGGATAGGTGGACTTTCGTGGCGAGCCAGAAACCAATATGGCACACCACACAGGCCAATAAGTACACAACAATAACAAGACGTTGCCGCTTGAAGTAGGGTGTGATGAACCCAAGACACACACGGCCAACGGTCAGTCCTCCCCAATACATGAATGTGACCACGCCTGCCACATACGGTGGTGTATTCCGGAGATCCACGAGGAACGTCAAGACCCATCCTCCAACGGTGACCTCAATGCCCACATAGACTAACAGGAATAGACTGATTATCCATGTCGAGACCAAACCTAATGATTCAAGCGTTGGGTTCTTTGATGTGGTGTTGCGTCTTGACGAGTCTCGGTCATCTTGTTGCACGTTGTCCCCAGGAACACCCAGTTCGCTGGCTTCAACCAGCGAGCCTCTTGCTGACCAGAATGCAGCGACCGAAGTCACGAACTCGATGGTTGCTGCAATACCCATTATATAGTAGAAGTGGTACCACATCCAGTCTCTCTGGGTGATCACATAAGTGGCCGTAAGCGGTGCCAAAGCCGCCCCCAGACCATAAAACGCGTGGAGGATCCCCATTAGCTGGCTGCTATTATGCATTGCACCAATCCAAGCATTCCAGGATGCATCCACAATGCCATTTCCCAGGCCAGCTAGGATGAATATCGTAATAAGAAGCGGGAAGGGAGGGTGCTGGGTCGTGGCAAAGTAGGAGATAACATGCATCCCCGTGCCCAGCAAGGCAATTCCGCGCTGTCCGAAGCGCTCGTGTATCCAGCTATTAGCCATGGCAGCGGTAGCGTAGCCAAGAAATGGCGAAAGGAACACTACAGAAACCGTGGTATAGTCTGCGTCGTAATATCGGCCCAGCTATTAAGAGATGAAGGGAATAGAAGTGGTTAGCAGCCAATATTCAGAAAGTGCCGCGCATATATCCGACGGATGAACCTACATAGTGAATCATGGCCTACCGATAGCAAGCCTATTAGTACAAGCTCCCTGAGAATGGACTTCTGTGAACCACTTACCCCGTATGCGCCATCGTTTGCGCCGACCACAATGAAGCTGTAGAATGTTGCCAGGACACGCCACAGGTTCACTGAAGGTTCATTCCACCTTTCTGGCTGCTGCCGTGAGTAGGAGTCGCCTGCTTCACTGATATTATCCCGGTCTCGTCCATCTGCCTGGTAAGAACCATAAGACACATAGGCCGAGTCTGATAATAAAGGGGCCTGTGACGCCAAGTCCTGCTGTGTGCTCATCATTCATGCGGTATCTTGCCTTCCGGGATGCGATGTTGTATGTGAATAAGACAAGGATTTAGGCTTTAATTACACCAAAATGTTTGGTGTAGATATTAACGTCAGACGGTAGGAGGTGTAACAAGCAGGCCGGCAGCAAGCAGAAAAGAAAGAGAGGGAGGGAAAGGAATGGAAATAAGAGAAAAAACGGACACAGCCGACGGAGGTAGAGGCAAATCCTACGCATCTAGTCTTACTAAGCGTACAGGCACATGGTTATCAAAGCCCTCACTGCTGGAAGGGTTGCAATACATCAGAATAATGAGTGTAGTAAACGTTTACGTTACATCTGTATCTAGGGAATGCCACCTGGAGGTTTCTTTTCACTTGGATATAGATTGTGCCACTAATACAGTAGTCATGAGGTAATTATCAGCATAATGCTTGCAGGATTATACTTTTTGTCGCTCCCAGTCCGTTGTTTGTCTTTGCCTTTTTTTTTTTCTTTTTTCTTTTTTTTCGTTTTGCTCCCTCGTGGATAATTCAACTAAGAACAAGCTAAATCAACGTAGGCAAACGAAAAAGAAAGGCTAGACAACAAAATATTCCACAGACAGTAATACTTCACATAACTAGCGCAGCTACATCTTCAAATACACTGTCAATAGTTTGAACAAGACGACTCACGATCTCGTCCACATCTTCTTTATGGACAATGTACGGTGGTGCAAGCAACAGGTGGTCACCATTCCAACCATCAACCGCACCAGTGGCGGCAAATAGGCAGATATCGTATCCCCTTTCCATTCCCCTGGACTGCATGCGCTTGCTGATGGTGAATGCCGGAGAAAAAGGAGTCTTGGTGGGTGGATCAGCCATGAATTCAACTGCCCAAAAGAGACCACGCCCTCTGATGTCTCCGACGTATGGATGATCGCCCAGGTGTAGCTTTAGTTGTTGGCCCAGATACTGACCCATCTTGCGACAGTTCTCAACGAGGTTTTCCTCTTTGATAATACGCTGGACTTCGACTGCTGCTGCGCAGCCCAGGGGGTGGGATTGGTAGGTCTGACCGTGGACAAAATACCCACCACCGTGTCTCAATCCATCCAAGACACGGTCGTTGACAAGTAACCCAGAAATGGTTCCATATCCGGCGGCGAGACCCTTTCCTACGAGCTCAATATCTGGAGCGACGCCATCCTCCTGCCAGGCATGTGTGATTCCGGTCCGGCCCATGCCGCACATAATCTCGTCGAAGACTAGGAGGGCACCATAGCGGTCGCATACATCCCGCACGGCTTGCAAATATCCTGGTAGTGCAGTAACACAGCCCAGGGCCTAAATGTTCAGACAGATCAATCTCTCATCATAACCAACTAAACCATGCTGGGGGTCCATGATCACCTACCGTCCCGACCATCGGTTCCAGGAAAACCGCACAGACCGTTTCAGGCCCAAGTCGTTGGAACTCGTTGTCCAGCTCGTCCTTGAGTCGAGCTACATATGTCTCCGGATCCTCATTTTCCATGAGGCCGTGGTATGGATCGCACGCTGAGACATGGGAGATATTAGAGGTCAAAATGGAATCAAATCGAGTCTTCCTCGGCTTAAAATCTCCTAATGCCAATGCCCCTAAAGTGCACCCATGCCACGAACCGTGCCTGGAAATGAACCTGGTTCGCCGTGTGTTCGGCGACTGCTCCTCAAAGTACTGATAAGCCAGTTTCATGGCCGCTTCGACGGCTTCGGAACCTATGTAGTTCACAAATTTAGTTCACAAGTTCGTACTGAATGGTCCCTTGACGCGAGGGATGATGCATAGAAAAACAGAAGAGGGGAGTTTATTGGTTACCAGATCCAAGAATGCACGCCCGAGACAACTTTCCTCCTGTGGACTCGACCAAAAGATCTGCAAGGTCCATTGCTGGTGTATTTGGGAAAAATCCCGGGTGGCAGTACTCCACTTGGTCAAGTTGGGACATTATAGCATTTTTGACACGACCTACGCCGTGGCCGATTGCAGAAACAGCCGCTCCGCTCGTGGCGTCTAGTATCTTCTGTCCATTTTCGAGGTAAATATAAATGCCCTCAGCTGATCTTACGGAAGGGACCGTTGGGTCATGGGTGACATTCTTGTACAGGTATGCTGGCTCCGCCGCGGATCCCATTGTACTGTAATAGTATAGATTGTATCTTGCGGGGGGTTTAAATGATGAGAATCTCTTAATCACGAAATTGTGAAACAGTTGGGCCTTCCACACGCTTGATTAAATAGTTGGGTCTTGAGCAATACATAGGTATATCAACATCAGATGCTTTTTTTGTTCTTTTACCGAAGCTTCCGATCAATTTCAGTCTACGTGGTAAAAGTAACTACGGTAGCCAGTCAGTATGGCTAGATTGAGTTGTAGCCTTCGCATTAATGCGTTTATCGTAGAGGGTGTGGCAAGTCTAGGCCTTATGCGACAATTGTGAACCATTTCTTCGTGAAATGCTACCTATTCCGACTCTACATCTGTAGATTCTTCGGAGTTAGAATTCCTTCCTCAACCCTGACAGACAATGGGTCACCACATTGCGTTCCGTGTGGAAGGCTGAAGGCGTGTCTGCAGTTCTTAGCATACTCTAGCGCAATTCAATATCCACATATAGCATAGGTTGCATCAACATATCCGATATCATGTTACCTTGTAGGTTCAAGCTAACAGTAGTGACTCATAGAGTATAGCCTTCCTCGAATAAGTGCTAATCTAGGGTAGTAACACGGCATCGACAACGATGTAGGCAGAAGTGGCTTGCGCAAAGGACACCTAACACATAGTGCTAAATTGCATATGTGACATGAAGCTCAGTTATTTTGCTAGTTGGAATTAAAATCATAGCGAATAGCGGAATGTTGCATTCCCAGGGTTCCGGGTATGTGGTGTGGTGTGGCATGCTCCGTTTGCGTCGAGTGCAGACAGCAAGCCATCTTAACTGGAAAATGTAGACAGGATTTAAGTTCAACCTTCGCTATATGACAAATGCTTAATTCACGGACACATGCTGGTCATCGATTAAAATGATCAGATCTCGTATACGACTTGTTAATGTATAGGTCGCTCAGGGTGTGGAAGCAGTCCCTTTCGGGTAGGAGATAGATATCGGCTGTCAGTACAAGACCACAGGATTAGGTTGTCATATGCAGAGTGAACCAGAGATTGTGCAGAATAGCCGACCCATCTGAGCACAGGTATTGTGAGATATGACATTCAAGTACCCGACATTGAGCTCTGGATACGCCGGAAATGTGGTTACATTCCCTGGATCTGCTCTCAAGGCTAGTGACACCAGAAGGATCGCTGCAAATGGCAACTTCCGAATTTTGGCACTCTAAGAAGCTAAATCTTTATCTTGTCCATATCTTAGTATACCTGCAAGCTAGATAAGGCTCCTCGTTACACGAGAGATAGTAGCAACCAGAGATGGAGCTACAGGTGTAAATGTCATAAGATCGCAGTTCACGGCTAGGCCAATCTTTCGCAGTAGGTACTTCGGAATAGGAAACATTCGTAATATTTTACCTCATATAGATCTCCCTGTCATGTATGTAATGATCATATACGCAACGGGAAAAATCTTAAATCTCATAGCTGCCCACCACCAGGCTTACCTAGGAGAGCGGCATCCAGTTGTCGTTAGATAACTTAAATGTTAATAATACCGGTGGATACGTTTCGATACCCTTGCTGGTTTCCATCATCTGTTTAGTTGCCATTTTAATACGTTCGGCGGTTCTTGAAAGATCCTCAATCGTGATCACAGGCGGCATAATGGAGTCCCCTGAAAATGAGCTGCTGTACCTCAAAGAGAACCCTAAAGCTATCTTTTTTACAGATTTTGATGGAACTATTACTCTGAAAGACTGTATGATTCTCTTACCGGAGGCTTTTCTTGGTCTTTCCCTCCGTCATGATACTCAGACACGCCCGTCGCTGACAGCAATCTAGGCAATGACTATCTGGTACTATGTCGACCCCAATATCCAATCTCCGTAGCTTACCTGATGTGAAGGTAGATAACTTTGGGTTTGGGATGGAAATGCGACGGAAATTGGAGATGGAAGTCATGAAAGGACATATGGCTTTCAGGTAAGAATTCGCTATCCATCCGTATGCCATTTCTGTCATTTCACACAGCCACTTGACCAACTCCACCAATAGAGATGCATTCCACGCCATGCTCCAGAGTGTACAGATGCCGTTAGCGGATTGTCTGCGAATTGTACAGGATAATATTCAGCTTGATCCCCACTTCCTGGATTTCTATTATTGGGCAAAAGGGTGTAATATCCCTATAGTTGTCCTCTCCTCTGGGATGACTCCTTTCATAACCATGTTGCTGGAGTCCGTTCTGGGCAGCAATCCAGAAAATATATTTGTTGTTGCCAATGACGTTGAGCCTCACAGCTTCGGGAACAAGACGACTGGGAGTGGATGGCGGATTAAATACCGTGACGACAGGTAAGGGTAACACATTTGCTGAGCTGTTGAGTGAGTCTTCACTAAACCGAAATGATGAACTATATAGCGCCTTTGGCCATGATAAATCACTCGAGATCAAGCCGTACTTTGGGCTACCCAGCGGAAATTGCCCTCTACTTTTTTATGCTGGAGATGGTGTCTCGGATTTATCTGCCGCATCGCAAACTCACGTTCTTTTTGCAAAGGAGGGTTTGGGTGAGTTCTCCTGGTGAATTACTTTCACAATCTCATATCCACCCGCATGGTTGGCTACTTGCAATTGATAATAAGCGAGCCTAATGTATGAGGTAGACCTAGTAGATCATTGCAAGGAAAGGGGAATTCCGTTTATCCCCTTCGACAACTGGAGCTCTATCCTTGACACAATGCAAGGTATTTACGAAGGTCTGTCTAGGGCAGGAATCACGGGCTATTCCAACGTTGTATAATAATCTAGGAGGTTCTAGTCCAGAAGGGGTGAAACAAGATAGTGCATTGGAATTGGGATAAGGCCCG